TTGAGTTCCCATCCGTGGACCAGACCTCAATCAACTCTCGGCTCGCCTTGTTTCCTGCGTGGACGATTGTCTTGACCGCTGCGAAATTGAACTCATGGCCCGTTTCGTAGGTGTGCGTAGCAACTTGCGACAACTTTTCGCCCCAACGCACAATTAATTTTTGTTCCTCTATGCGTGATCCGAGTATGCGTTCAGTTTTTTATCTGTATATTTACAAGGACAGCCTAGACATGAGGTGCGATTCACTACCCCGGGTTGATCTTTGAGATTAAGTCGGTCTTTGATTTTCGTCCCCCTGTTGCGCAAGGTAGCTTTGAGCCGGTGCGTAATTCTAACACCTAGTCCTCCAATGATGTGTTCAGTTGCTTCTGTGACGTCTCTGATGTATGTCAGAGCGTGCCATATCCTCGGTGGTGTTTCTGTTTGGGTCCTCCGAGACCTAACGCATAGGGTCGCCTTCTAAACCCCCTCACATAGCCATCCGTTATAAATGTGTCGTGGAGCTATCGGGCCTTCTCCGGCCAGCTGCAATGAGTCTGAGTCCGTTTCATGGGCGTTCTCACATAGCTTCGTTTTTGAGCAAACAGATGGCCGCTGGGAACGCTGAGTCGTTCTGGGGCCTTTGTTGCCTTCCTGTAAACCGTTAAGTTTTTGCTGACAGAACATCAAGGAAAGGCAGCTGCTGTTTTTCTCCCCTCGTGTAAGGAAAGATGCCATTGCGTAGACTCTGGCAGTTTTACAGCATGATTTTCTTGTCGTCAAAGTAACGGCGCCAATATACAGGCGTATTTCGTTTTCTTCCTATAATTTCCTCGTTTACACCTCTTTCTCGTCTCTCTCTATTTCTTGCTTATTGTGTACGTGCATCCTCCTAAAGGAATCTGGTCTCCCATGTCCACCTCCTCTTTCGCTTCTTGTATGTCCACCTTTCCTGGTTTACTGGGTGTTTTTTATTTGTATTCATTTATAAACCTTACCACACCCTTCGTGACTAAACTTCCTTATCTTTTCATTGTCTCTGTCAGGTCTACTCCACCCTCATTACATTGGGAGTGAGCCCCACCAAATGGTTGTTTCGCCTTTCTTCATCTACGACCGGTCAGCGTCTCACAGCTATCTGTCTCGCCGCCCTGGGTCAGTTAATGCAGACCCTGCAAGGTCTGCTTCTGGAGCACGGCGACGATGCCTTCCAATCCTTCACGGATCGCGTGCCCGCCTTCTTCTGTGTTATTTCCAACCTCTCACGATGGTGCAGGCACTCATCGCAGCCGATGGAAGGGGGGAACACCTCGATGGCGCTATCGGCGGCCTGTCTTCTACACCCAAAGCTTGTGGAAGAGTTGAACGACTTTGATAGCAGCGTCTCGGAAGTCCATACAGTAACCGCACAAACCCATACTCAAACTTGCCCTTGAAGATCCCTTGTTCATATTCTTATTTTATGTCTAACCCCGCCGGTTTTACTGTCATTGCGTGCTTGCGCTTGCCAGAGACTTTGTACAACAGTAAATACATAATGTTTCGAAAATGGTTTACTTCTTACTTATTTTACACTTTGCGATCTTCTCATTTCACTATATTTGACTCTTTTATACATAGAAAAAGGTGATTTTAGCATTTTAGAGTCCACCCCAGCTCCTCCTCAGGGCGGTACTAGTGTACTCCGCTCCACCGCTTGTTTAGCTTTTTTTGAAGCGGCATGATGATGATGATGATGATGATGATGATGATGATGATGATGATGATGA